GCCTTACCTTACAAACCCTAAACCCTGAACCCTAAACCCTGAACCGTCCGCAGGATCCTCTGGAGCTGAAGGAGATGAAGCTGCAAGTGCCAGTCTCGGAAGAGAAGAGCGGGGGGGGGGGGGGGGGGGGAATTTAGGGTTTAGGATTTTGGTTGGGGTCGCGATGCCGATGTGAGAATTCCACTGGCTTCGAAGGTTCCTCAGATGCTGCTGAGGCGCTGCTGTACTGCTTCAAACTCTCTCAGAACCTGCCCAGCAATCTCTTGGCCAGAGTCTTAGCCCGGTCTGGGAGAGTCTGCGTTGCTGCTCTGGCAAACTTCCTGCCGACTGAGATCGTCCTGGAGTCCCTCTCGGAGTTCAAATACTGTCATCGGCCAGTTGCTTGCCTAGACTGTTTGCTTTTTGCGATCTTTGCGGCCGCACGCGGGGTGTCGAGCTTCCTGGTCCTGGACGGTCACTGAGGTGGGTGCCCACGCCGTAGTTTTCCGTTTCCTACTCCGAGTACTGATTGCCGCTTGCCCTGAAATATGAGAGCAATCATGAGGGAGTGTTCGGTAGCTACCCTAAACCCTAAACCCTAAACCCCTAAATTCCGTTGTCATCTCGGAAGATGGAGCTTGCATGCAGGATTTTGCACCGGAGATGGACCGCCTGGAGGCCGGCAACTCTTCATCCCCAGCCCTGGCCTACGCCGTTAGAGTCGCCTTGCGCAGGTTCCGCAATCCTTGTGCGACATGCTGTTTCGGCCTCAGCGACAAAAGCAGAAGCAGCCACCAGTACGGGGAGTTGACAAGCCGCGAAGATCGAGGCGGTCGCACCTGCGATTACTTCCTTCGGCAGATGGCTTAAGGTTCATGATGAGCGGGCTTTCTGCGTCCAGTCCCCTGCCCCCTAAGCCCTGAACCCTGTAAATCCTAGCTAAAACCCTAAGCCGCCCCCTCCCTTCACCTCAGGTTCTAGCGCTCAACCAGAGGGTAAACTCCAAGGCCGGCGCTGAAATCGCTTGTGTTTGCAGCGACATTTGGGCCGCAAGGGTTTAGGGTTTAGGGCTTAGGGTTTAGGGTAAATCTTCTTGCCGATCGAAGCCTGCGGCCAGCGAGAACCCAAGCCCTTCAACGACAAAGCCTGAGCCCCATAGAGGATCCCCGAATCCCTTGTGCGCAACCCTCCGCAAGACCGGAAGTGAAGGCTCTCCCCTGAACATGCGGGCTCATGGAGTTCAAGGGCTATAGTTATAGTTACTATCTATGGCCATAGTAGCAGTGAAAGTAGCTGTCAGGATCCTAATCACATTCACAAAAACAATCACAATCAGAATCACCAGCATCATCATAACAAAAAGCAAGAGTAGTATTTTGTCAAGAATACATCCGATAATGGGCCCCCGGGCCTGCACCCCAAAGCCTTTTGAAGTTTTGCGACCATCCTAGAATCGGCCCAGCAGCAGACACGAAACGGCTGTGATGAAATCCGTCCGGAGCGCAGTGAGTGGAATCTTGACAGAGCCAATCGCAAAGCCAATCATGTGGCAAGACCCGATGCCTTCAGCATGCTAGGATTACAAGCTTTTTTCCTAGACTGCGGGGCTCTAATCGTTCGCATCCCATCCGCGATTGGCACCATCGCAAACAGTGTGCCGTTCAAGTGAACGACACTAAACATGCCTCAGCCGTATGGTTGGGGAGCAGATCCTTTCAGAAGACCCTTCTGAAGATCGCAATACAAGGTCCAGTACTGCTGCGCGATAGTTCTGCAAGCCCATTAATCCTCTTTTCCCGCGTCTGTGGATGCTCGGAGCGCACCTGGCGAAAGCCAAGGTAGCAAATGGTGAAAGGTTTTTGGCAGTTAAAAGAAACCGTTGAGGTACCTAGGGCACGTGGCTGTGAGGGTGATCAGATCAGTCTTTTGGTTGAAAGTTTCGGCTAATTTAGGGTTGTTAGGGTTTAGGAGTTTAGGGTTTGTGCCAGCTGCTTCTGTTCCCCGGGGCAGGCTGTCCAGTGGAAGCTGCTTCACTCACTCGGCCAGTTCGTTTCGCGCCTCGAGCCTCCATCAAGGCCTGAGACATAAGATGAGACCTGCTGAAACCGGATCGCAGTCATATACCCTATAAGCCCTAAAACATATAGCTTGTCAGCTTGTCGTTCATGTCCCAGATATGCGCCAGGATACAAAGATACTTTGGCCTCCTCGTTATTCTCTCCGAGACGCCGTGGCTGGACCCAAGGCATGGCACAGGGATGTGTCATAATGACCGCAATATCAGAAATAAGGCTAGACTGACTAGAAATGGTCAGAAGGAGTAGGAAACATGATAGTAGTAGTTCTAGTAGTATCAAGAGTAATCAGTACGGAGTAGCAGCGGCAACAACAGTCATCATAATGACCGACTAGTTGCAACGACGACCTCAACGAAAGCTTTATGAACGGCAACTCACCCTCGGACTGCATGCAACAAGCTGGTCAGAGACCTTCAAGTCCTGTGATGTTCATCCTTCAGTCTCGCTGGAATCTCTTGAGCCGAAGCTGTGTTTCCAGTTACGTCCTGACGGCGCTACATCGGCTGGTGTTCTGCCCATCCTCCAGTCTGACATGGGAAGCGGGTGTGCGAAGGCCTCAGATGCCTCAGGTGGCTCCGCAGCAATCCGCCTCCGTTGCTTTGCAGCAAAGCCGCCAGTCTCAAAGCGTCAGGCGCGTTCTCATTACGTGCCGTCGAATCATCCTTTCGCATCCTCAGGACAGGGGCGGCTCCAGGGGTAGGAGGGATCTGATGCTTCCCAGGGTCAAGGCGGAATTCTTTTGTGTGCAGGCCGTGATTTACCAGCCGATGCTCCGGTTACTGCAGCACCTGGCGACCTACCAGTCGCGACCTCGGGGATGTTTGCACCTCGGACGGCTCTTGGCAGAAGCGCAGGTCCGACGTCGACTTGCGGGACCGGTCCCTGCTCTATCTGAGGCAGGAAATTTGTGAAGACCATGATGTGGTTCGAGAGGCTGCCGTGAACTGAAATCTGGCTCGGAGATGTGTATCTCTGTATGTCTCTATAAACCGCAAGGGCTCAAGCAAGCCATTGCTCACGTAGTGCCGCAGCCTCCACGTTCGCGACCATGAAGCAGAAGGCCAGGGCTGGAGGTATTCTTCCAGGGCCTCCATCGCGCCATGGTAAACCCTAACCCTGAACTTTGAATGCGTGTGTAGCCAGGCCACTGTGACCTGCTCCCGGCGTGCCGGCCACAGGATATTGCTTGCTGCGCTTTGCTGTTGATGGGGCAAGGCCCCGCAAGGCTGCTTTGTATGGTCTTGGGGTGGTTCGATGATGTTCGGTGGGTCTTATCCGTCAGATGCTACGAGGAAGTGCAAACTTCGCCAGTGCCTCCGACAAAGGCAAGAATCGCAAGGCGTACTTCACGGCTCCTTCGCACATCCGCCGAGTGCTGATGAGTGCGTGGCAGCCTGAGCCTGCTTGAGACATGCGTGAAGAGCTTGCTTCGCCAGTGCGTGCACATGCCGAAGAAAATAATAGAGAGCTTGAGGCCTTTAAGCAAGGACCTGCGAACGAAGTACAATGTTCGGTCCTTGGAGACTGCAAGGCCTTGAGGTCACTTCCTGAATAAGCCTCGGCAATCCTCAGTGGCGCGCAGCTGAGGTGCGTGCGGTTCCTATTCGGCGGGATGATGAGGTTAGGATCGTGCCACAAGCTCAGCAATGCTCCGATATGCGGACATTATGGCTGTGGCAAACACCCAGGCGGGGCCACTACAACGATCGCGAAGGAAAGGTGACGCAGGTGTACAGGAAGAAGTTCCGTACGCCAGCTCAGCTAGCAGAGCTGAAGCCAAAGGTAAAGTGTCACGATTCTTGGTTCTAAGTTCTAAGTGCTTTCCCCAAGAGGTTTAGGCAGCAGTTCCGAACACTAGTAAAGTCGTGGCAACCGTCGTCAAATGTCGGTGTCAAGCGCGACCGTGATGACATCGAAACCTCGCAATGGACACCCTTTCCCCAGTTCAGCGACTTGGTGCTGTCGGAAGTCTACGCGATGCAGCTGCCGTCAGCTGGTGCAGGTAGAATTCTTTGGTACCCGAAACATGGTTGCTGTATGGTAGTGACTGTGCCATGGCTTGGGCTGAAAAGGTCTGCCAGGGTGGCATCGCACAAAGGAAGAGCGAAACCGTCGAAGGGGCCCATGGCGGCCCAGTGACTGCTGACTACTATGCACAATACGCGCACCAGGGGCATCAATCGAAGCGTATAAGCCAAGGCCTTCAAGATTCAGCTTCGTAGTCTCTCTAAGCATCTTCTACGGAGGGTTTCGGGATTTGTTTGAGGCGCGATGCCACGCTCAATGAAATAAAAGTGGCAACAAGACGGAGACCGTGAATGCCGCGAGTCGCCCGACACGGCCAAATTTGACATTGAAACACCCCCTCACCACCAAGTCAGTAAGCAGGGTATGCGAAGTGTCCACGGGCGAGGTTGCATGGCAGTGGCAGAATCCCTCCCAGGTATCCATGTGGAGAGGGTCACCCGAGACAAGGCCGGCAGTTCAGCTCCGCTTCTTTTCCTCGACGTGAGAGTCCTTATCTTAAGTCTCCTTGCAGGCGAATGGGCAGCCTGTGCCCATCCCAATCCATCCTTCCAAGGTGCAGCCGGGAGGGATGTCTCCGCATTCGGGGAAGTGAGAGTGTCTAGTGGAAAGCCACAGCTCCAGGTCTCACCTATCCGACCTATCCCTCTCTCCCCACTGAAGGATTCACTCCAGAGTGTCTTATTTTCAAGTCGCCCTTCTCATCAAAGGTTGAGATCACGAAGCTCAAGCTTGACAAGGACCGCAAGGCCCTCTTGGACAGGACATCTCCACCCCTCTGAAATCCATCTTCTGCAGTGAGGGCCTACCTCAGCAATACCTCCGACGTACCCTTGCGGAAAGGAAGAACCGCGCCGTGAAGAAGGGAAAGTACACTGAGAAGGACACTGCATAGGCGGACGAGGCTCTTCCGCACTCGAAGCTGCCGTCCTGGGATTTTGCAGTCTTTCCAAGTCCTGAAGGTTCTATGACCGAAGCGACGGAGGGAGGATGCACGCGACACGTGAGCTCTGATTTGCGGAGGAAAGAAAGCTGCGCAGCTTCTGAAGGGGGTGGTTGGGGTATCTTTGCTATATTCATAATAAGGAGCCCCCAAAATAGTATAGGTAACCCTAAACCCTAAACCCTAAACCCTAAACCCTAAACCCTAAACCTTTTTTAGGATGAAGGGTTGAGCCGGAGACGCTGATCGCAGGCTGCTCTCCCACTCCGGGCCAGCGGCCTTGGGGGCGTGGGAAGCTGAGCTGCGATGCAACGAAGAGTCCCAGAAATTAGGGTTTAGGGTTTAGGGTTGAGGGTTTAGGGTTTAGGGTTGAGGGGTGGGTTTAGGGTCTAGGGTTCAGGGTTTAGGGTTTAGGGTCTAGGGTTTGGGGTTTAGGGTTAAGGAGATTCATCTCTCGCCTTTGTGTCGGGCGTTCGAGGCTTTTCAACCCTCACCCTGCAAACATGCAGAGGATGACGCAGATGTGTGAGCCCCAAAGTCGGAAGCTAGTCAAATGCCGACCTTGCGCCGCATCTGCAGAGGCTGTCACCCGTGCTTCCCAGAACCGTGCGTCTTATAAACGGCCCGGTCAGTCTCTGAGATCAATCAATCAGTTTTCTCTGCCCGGTGAAGGAGTGGGTAAAGCCAAGACGTTCCGAGGTACCTTTCCTGCGCTTCGTGAAGTCACCCGATGAGCGCAAGAAGTGAGCATCCAAGACTTTGCGTGCCTCATTCCGTCCGGGGCCATTATTGGTTCAGTCTAAAACGAGTACTATGACGAAGATTACCACCACAAAAGCAATAGTATAGCACTCGTAGCAACAATAAGTCAAATAAAGGAAGGTTAGCCTTCCCGTCCACGAGTCTCAGGCTTGGGCTGCTCGACCGCCAAACCGCTGTGTTTGTGCTTCCGGGTGCCGAAGAAGGCCGGGTTTAGGGTTTAGGGTTTAGGGCATCTTGCGATCTGGAAGTGCTGCTTCCCAGCTGATTGGCAGAGTCTGGGTTCAAAAAGAGCATCTTGCGAAGACGTGTTTCGGAGATCGGATCAAACTGGATGCTGGGAGCTTCATGATGTGTGTGGCGGAAGCGGAGCTCTTCATTGCTGTCCATGGGTGTTTGCTGTTGGGTTCTGGTTCGTGACCAGCGCTTTTCACACTATCTGCTCAACCCGATTAGGGTTCACGGTTGTTTATGGAGGGATGTGGCTTGATGCAGGTGACCTGCTGAGCAGCCAGTGGGAGAAGAGGCTGGTGATAGTCATGAAGTGGGACTCTTCGCAGACACTGGCAAGACCCTAAGCTGCTGTATCCCCAAAACCCGAAACACGCCCAAACCGTAGACCTTATGCAAAACTAAACCCTAAACAACTACACTGCACTCTAAACCCCTGAACCTTAGACCCGCCCCTAACCCTTGTGAACTCTAATATGCCGTAATTCACTATAATATACCGTAATATACGGTAATATTCTATAATATAACGTACTGTATAACATACTACAATATACTACAATATACTATGATATACTATGACACACCTTGGTCTGCTATCTGCGCAGATGGGGCGACCCTGGCCTGGACCACAAGTTCCCCGAGGACTGGCTCAAGGCCCTACTTCGGTGATGCGGGGAGCATGTTGCCTCGATTTCTAGGGCTTTTAGGGCTTTGGGGCTTTGTGGTTTTAGGGCTTCAAGGTTTCTAGGGTTTAAGCGTTAAGGGTTTCGGGTTGTAGGATTTTTAGGGTTTAAGGTCTCCGTTCTCTTGACAGGTCGGGGCCGGATCAGGCCGGGCCGGCCTCCATGGGTTTGGTGGGAAGAGTCCGGGGGCTTTGTGCGGCCTTCGAGGCGGATTGCCGTGGTTGCTGAATGAGTACAAGGAGCACCTCAAGGCTCGGGAAAACTCCGATGCCGAAGCCGTATCAAACGAGTGATTGTGTAAAAAGCATGCAGAGGCTTCTCCCTCGAGCATTCGCTTGCCCTTCACCTTGCAAGGGCCTCGTTTCCCACCTTTTACGAAGTTCCGCTGAGCTCAACGCTCAGCTCAGTGCCGGGAGTTGGGAGTGAAAGGCAGTATGAACCTGCTGCTGACATGGCATCGGAGGCTGGCTCGAATCTTAGCGATGGTTTCCATGCAGTGCAAGGTTGAAGCGAGACGTGTGGACAGGAATTGAGCTTGGAGTGCCCGCGTCAACTCTTCTCCCTGGAGTTGCCTTGAACTCAGAAACCTGCACAAACTCAGAAGGTGCACCCTTCGTGCGGACAGTTGATGTGTCATGATTCGTGCGGCGCACATCACAACGATGCCAATGCAAGGACGTTCTCCTCCAGCGAGCATTTCGTCCCAATCGAGCCAATTCGTATTCCGCCGCTTTGCCGCAATATCTAACACCAGCGCACCCACACACACACATGTGTGGAAGCAACAGCGACACGGTCATGCTGGCAGTGTGAGCGGCTAGTCGCGAATCTGTCATGGGCGCATCCGATATTGATAATGTGGATGGCACGCGCGTTTAGCAAAAAAGCGATCAGGTTTATTGCTGCTGACGGTGGTCTGGTAGTGGATACTTGGCTCTCAGACGATGTCAGAAAATGAACTTTGACTATCCTGCGCTGGCTCCGGCTGAGGATGGCGACGATGGAGATGGTTTTCCATGCTTGCCTTGCCGCCATGTTGTAGTTGAGAAACTCAGGGGCCCTGTGCCAACTACGCGTGCAGCTGCGCTCCCGCGATGGGCCAGGAATAAGCTGCTGCTGCGGCTTCGGCCCCTGAGCCCAGTACCAACATCCTTTGGGGCAGCTTGCTTACGAACCTGGCGACACTCCCCGCTGTTCCGGACGAGTTGATTCCTTCTTCCTCAGGTGAACATCGCCTTCAACGACAGCTTAAGCCAGATGTACTTAGGCTCCCCCTCTTCGACGTCGGGTCCATGAGGGGAGCCTCGCACTATCCCAACCCAAAGTTGGGTCCCTGCTAGGCCAGCTCGAAGCCTTCGAGGTTGCCTTCCAGGTCTCTACCTCGCGAGATGTCTTGAAGCCATAGGGCAGATTCAACTTGAAGATCTGTGTCCATGTGTGATTACCCGTGTGTCTGTGTGTTGTCCTTATTGAAACCCGCTGTGTGCTCACAGTGCACAGAGAGCACTCGTGTAGAGGGTTGAAAGATCCTGCAAGTAGATGTTCAGGCAGTGTTGGGGGGCTGCACGGCTCCGCACGGCAACGTACAATGGGAGCTCTAGGAAGAAAGAAGGAGCCCAGTCGCAGTTGTCACAGTCGCAAGCATGGCGCAAGCCGACAGCGGACCGCTGACCATGGCGGGGCGCGAGCTGATGCGAAACCGCATCATCGCCCAGAGCGAAGCCACAGACATGGCGGTCGGAAAGCCAGGGGAAGATCCCCCTGTCTGGCTCGAGAGCAGCGACTGGCGCTTGAAACTGGGCGCTGCCTCGGCTCTGAGCCACAAGGGTGCGCCCCAGTTGGCCGGTGCGCCGGAGATCCGAGCAGCGCTGGAGTCCTCCGAGGAGGCTCGGCAGCTCATCCGAAGGACGCTACAGGCCTCGGCCGCCTCTGAAGAGGCCGGGCCCCGAGCTGTACAGCTGCTTTCAAGCGAGGACTGGAGACTTCGGAGAGGTGCCCTGGAAGCGCTGCGGAGACAGGAAGCGCCGTCTTCAGAACTGACGTCCCGGATCGCGGAGCTCTGCGTCTGCGATCCCTGTGCTGAAGTGAGAGATGCAGCAGCCAGTGCTCTGAGACGGCAAGCTACGGAAGACGTGGTCGAAGCACTGGCTGCCTCACTGAATGCTAGAGCAAACGAGTCTTCGGCTTCTCGAGTTGCCGAAGACCTTCTGGTTGAGGTTCTTGGAAGTGCACAAGACTCCCTCTCAAAGGTTCCAAGCTCCGCCTACTTCGCCGATCTTGCGCGAAAGGACCAGGAGCAAGCCCAAGCAGCAGCTGCAGAGCAGCAGGAGCAGGAGGAGAAGTTGCGAGAGCTTCAGGATTCGCAGAATGAGCTTCAGAAGCTTCAGCTGCAATGGCTGGATTTGCTCCCAGCGAAGCAGGTCACGGAGATCGAGCAGTCTCGAGAGGTCTTCACGGAGTCCAAGGCTCGAAGCCAGGAAGCCCAGGCCCTAAAACGGCGGGCTCGGCGTGGAATGCGGGACTCCCTGGCTGCGCAGGGCCCTGAGATGCGAAGGGAGGGCAGAGAGCGGTCCAAGGAAGACTTCTGGGTGGAGCAATCTGCAGGCCTCTTGAGGGAGGCCGAGGAGTTCCGCTCCTTGCCATCGGAGGAACTTCTGGAACGGTCTGATAAGCTTATGGAGTGGATGGCAGCGAGAAGCACGGATGGAGTCTCCTCGCACTTGCGCAGAGTGGCCACAGAGCTGTTGGGGAATCTGGGCTCGTTGGCAGGGCCCGAGCATCACGACGCATTGCGTCAGCTTATGAGCTCGGAGGATGCGCAGCTCCGCAGACTGGCTGTCCAGGCTTTGGGAAAGCTCCGATCTTCCGACTCTGCGGCTGCTGTGGCGAAGCTGCTTGCGGATTCGGACTCCAATGTGCGGAGGGCAGCAAGTGTCGCACTTGCACAGATGGGGGCTCCAGCTGCTGCATACATTGCAAAGCAGCTCTGTAGCTCGGATGCAGAAGCCCGGAAAGGTGCAGAGCGCAGCCTTTTGGCTCTGAAGGTCACCGAGGAGCAGAGGTACCAAGAGGGCATGCTGCGACTTCAGGCTTTGCTCCCACACCTAGAGCCACTTCTGGACTGCGAGCTCTCGGAAACCCGATTTGCTGCAGCTTCGGTCATTCACCGCCTCAGAAGGCAGGCGGAGCCTCAGACTCAGAGCGGCCCGGCCTCTGCTGAAGCCGTCCTTGCCTTGCTCAGCGTTTTGGAGGATCCTTCTGAGGAAACTCGCGTCGCAGCAATGCGACAACTGAGGGATGAGTCGCCGCTGGAGCTGTTGCCCCACTCTGCCACACTGCTGGCTCGATCCTTGGCAGACTCTTCCGAGATGGTGCGGAAGCTGGCAGTGGAGGTGGTGGGTGCCTTGCGTGGGCCGTCTGCTGCGGCTGCCAGCGACATCCTCATGGGTCTCTTGAAGCACAAGCTCCAGACCGTGCGTCGTGCGGCCGTAGCTTCCATGGAGCGCCTGGGAATGGAGCCACCTGCGCGACACTTGGCACTGCTCGCAGACGAGGACCCCACCCTGCGCTGCAACGCATCGGAGGCGCTGTCAAAGCCCGAGGTGTTGTCTTCACTGGATGACAGAGACTTGGCATCTTTGATGTCCCTCAGCATTGATCCACACTGGGCAGTTCGACTGGCGGTGGCCAAGTGCTTATGTGCCTTGAGCCCGGATTCCCTGCGGAAGCATTACAATCATGCCGTGATCCTCGCTTCAGACTCTGACTGGCGAGTGATGCGTTGTGCCCGAAAGGCTGTTAGCGTTGGCGGCCCAGGGTGAAAGCGCTCTAAGGGCGCCGTTCACTCATTTCCCCGGCCGGCATGCCTAATCTGTCTCAAAATCGGGACGGGTCTAGGGAAATTCTTGCCAAACCGCCGGGCGGATTCTTGCCGTGGGCTTGTTGTAAACTTGGAAGCTGGTTCGCGAAAGGGGCATCTTGCTCGCTTGTTTCTCTATCCCTCAACTGCCGGATCGCTCCGACCAGCTTCCACAGGATCTCTTTCTTCCAGTGCGTCTTCCTCTCGTGTTTTGGTCGAGTCCTCAGGTGTGCATGGGTGTGACAAGGCTCGAGAGGATCTGCGCCACGGCCTCTTGACAGGGCTCCTTTGTTCGAGAACCTCTGGGCAAGTCTCGCCGAGTGGCTCCGGCACGTTTGTGGCCGCTTGTCGGCGCATGGGAAGCCTATGCAAAAAATGCACGGAGCCTCCGACAGGCCATCCTGGTCAGTGAAGGCCGGCTATGCATTCCTTGATTCCTGCCAGCTCGTCATGGCAAGCTGAGGTCCTGGACTTGGAAAGGGACACCGTGAAGGCCAGACTCTCCATGAAAAGCGCTTAAAACCGCTAAACTTGCGCGGCAGCTGGGGGTCAACTCAGGAGCTGATCCAGACGCAGCTTGGACCCTTTGTCGTCCCGGCAGAGGCACGGCTGTGCAGAAGCTTTGGCAAGTAAGAAGTGCAGGCCGCGCGGTTGCAGGGCTCGGCTGCCCAGAAGCCACTCCATCGAACGGCGAAACTAGCAACAAAACTCTGCTCCTCGTCCAAGCCCATGATCGGCCTTGTGCAGCAATTCAGAAGTGCTACACTGTCGAAAATGCCTTCCAAGGGTATACGTATGTATATGACATGCACTGTCACACATCCATAGCGGTCAGTAGACGTCTTGCAGGTACAGTGAAGCACTGGAAGACGAGGTCGAAACAAAGCAGCCCCGAAAAAGAGGAAAAGCCTCTCCACCTCCTCCAGTTAGCACTCGAAGTAAGGGTAATATCACTGCAACCAGCAAAAGGAAAGTTCCTCAGCTGTGGCTTCCTTCTCAGAGAGGTCACCAGAATCTGTTGCTTGCAACAGCAGAACATGGCAAGTGACGTTCAACGATGTCGATGACGGCGCATCAGCGGTGCAATCTGCGGCGATGTCTGTCCGAGTTCGGCCCAGAACTAGTTTCCCCTATCATGCTTTATCTTTTTCACAACGGTTTGAAGCAGGCGCTCTGCTTGCCATGACCACACTGGATTACTACTGCATTTCGGCAATGGCAACGTAAGGACCTGATTTCCGTGTAGCACCGATAAAAAGGCATGCGTAGAGAGAGGTGCGAGAAAGCGGAAGTATGAAAGGAGCATGAAGACATTCCAGGCGAACGTTGACTTCTGGGAGCACTGTCGACTTTTGCCGGGAACAGGAGTGGCAGCTACCAGGGTGGGTCGAACCAAGAATAACAAATCGCGCACCCACGCCACACGGAAGCGAATCACTGCCGCATGAACGGATCTTCAGGCAACGGTCATTTCCCTTGCGGCGCGAGTCCCGGGTTGTTGCAGGTTCATGTTGAAGATGAAGATTTCGATTTCGAACAAGAAGAGCATCGCTCTCAGCCGTGGATGGGCAGACTCCTGGCCACTTTGATCCTGCTGAGGTACTTCGACAGATGGAACAGCTTGCCCGAAGGCGAAATGGACCTGCCGGAGCAGGACTGCAGAGATGTAAACTGCAAACCTTTCAAGTCTGCAAGCTAGGCCCTGCGGGACAGGAGCAAGATGTGACCGTCAATGTGGACACTACCTTCGCTATCCTGCGGCTCACGTCCTGATTGCGAGGGTTGGGGTCAGACGTCAGAAGTGCTGTGGCTCGCAGAACTGACCGACATTGCTCAAGTTGCCATGCCTGCCCGTTTACCTGCCTGCCTGCCTGCGATTCAATTCTTCCCTCCGAGGAGGTCCAGACAGTGAGAATCTTATTTCCATGAAGACCAGCAGCTGCCAACTTTGGGCGATGCTTCAGTAGGTATGCTTGTCGACAGCAGAGCAATTGCGGATTGCATCATCCTCATGCCGCAAGACACGCTTCTTGTTGCTATGTGGTGCGTGCCTGCCTGGAACAGCTCTAATAGTCAGACAAGTTGTCCGTGCTTTGGCCTTGTAGGGGTAAGATGTCGGTCGAGAGGGACACGATATGCTTTCCTCATGCGATAATTACTGCGTGACCCTCCCTGCAGACTTCCGCATGAAATACCGGTGTCACAGCTTTCGATGGCCGGATGACATGCTTTAGACGGCTGCAGACATATGTTTTGAGTGCAGCTCCAAAGAGCCAGCGCGGCCGAGCGATCCTTTGGCCAAACATGGCAAACACATGCATGCTGATTCAATCAGACAATCTGATTGGGCCTTGCCACAGCACTGTTGATGTGAAGCCAGGACATGTATGTGTTGGCTGACCCGCAATCGCAGCTTGACTCTGGCGTGGGGTGCAATCTGTCACCGTATTGCAGCATGTCAAGGTGACATCAAAGACAATGCGCGCTGAGCACAGACCTTTTGCCCACAGTAAACAGCTGCAGATGATGGCAGCAGCTGTTACTCGGCACCAACATCCCAAATGCCAAGCATGTCCTGACCACTGCCAGGTTTGTCCCTCCATGCTATCACTTGCTGATGAGGCCTCACGATACATATTGTTTCCTGAATCAAAGCTGAACTGGTGAGAGATGCGCAAGTCTGTAGGGACGCTCCGGCTACATGTGGTGACTGTTGGTCATGGTCGCTTCCTGCAACAGGTTTGCAATATCGTCGAACTCAACAATTGTGTCTTCGCCTAAGCTGTACCCGCCCAGAGATGAGCGATGATGCACACGTTGAGGCGAATATTGACAGATCGCTTCCAGCTGCTCTCCTACATGGTTTGTCCCTGAGCCTTCTTTACGTGGCTGCACCCCATGTCTCAGCTTCAAAGCTATTTGCTGCATCAGGACGCCTTCTTCTTGTCTTGGAGTTCGTAGCTTAGTGGACATGCAGCAGCAAGAAGGTTTTGTTGACTAGGCAGTTGCTCAGGTCGAGACGCTGCAATGCTCGCCGACCTAAGCCAAGATGTTGACGTGCGACAAAAAGACATAGCGCGCATCGCCTGTTCACCCTGCAGAGCAGTTTGACCACTTTACCATATAAGAAAAGATCAAGATGAACTAGCAGAGCAATATCATACCAATCCAGACCAGCTCGGCCAGGGGGATGGCATGGACGGGGAATTGTTATTGAATATATATTTTCTGCTTCCAATAATGGATCGATGAATACGAATAAATACTTGCGAGATATTAAATTAAAGATATTCTCTTTAGAATAATTTTTCTTCTCTAATATCATTCTTGTATATTATTACAATAAGAATAAGAAGAAGAGAGATATTACTTTAAATTTTGAATCTCTATTCTTAATATAAAAAAATTGAAATTCTGAATGATACTATTATTATAACGAGTTTTAATAATTATGATTAATTATTATTAAAATGAAAACTAGTATCGGCTAGGAAGATTTAATTTAGATTATTAATTTTCAAATTCTGAAATTTTATCTAAATGTTGAAACCTAATCTTTAATATATTCGAGTTAGTAGATGGATGCTTCTTCGTCGGGATGCTTTAGAATGATATTACTCGCGTGATAGAATATCTATCTAAATTGGTTTCTTCTGAAGGGCACGGAAGCGATAGGGGATGATTAGAATAATATATACGAAATAAAAATTATGAGTTCATATTTTATATTAGAGTAAAATAGAATTAGACAATAATTTATATAATAATAGAAAGATATTAATCTCTAATAAGATATTAATGATAATAATATATATCGACAGAAAGAAATAATTAATCCCATTTAGATATATATCGAAATATTATTTCTATTATTATTATGATAATGAGGATTATTACTATTGCTACGATTATTATTTTTCTTTTAAATTAGTCTTTTTAAATAATATTCTATTTCTTTCAAGAAGACCGAAAATTTGCTAATTATTATTTATTCAGAATATAAATCTATCAATAAATTTTTTTAATTTATTTATTTTTTCTTAATTT